GTGTTCTGTGCACAGTAAATCCCTCCCACAGGTTCCTTTATCTTTTATCATGCAATCTGAGACTCGGTCTGGTGATTGTAGTGCTTCGAGTACAACCACTACCTAGCCACTACGCTGACTACCACATGACGTTTGCACTTCTTTGTTGGGCGTCACGCAATATCGTCCTACTTAACATGCAGAAGTATTGTACGTACACACCGCCTTATGCGCAGACCGTCCTCCACGCGCGTACTCCTGCCTTTTGGCCTGTGTGTCCGTTAGATGTATTTGATATGTCTGTTTCTCTGTGCCGTCGCCTCACGGGCGCTCGCTGCCGGACCGAGCTGAGGTATGCATGTACTCTTGTCGACTGTACCAGTGGTCATCATAACTAAACATCGCAGGTCAGTGTAGGTCACCTGCTGCAGTCAGAATAAGTTGGGTTGACGTTTAATTTACCAAGCATCGTAAAAAGGTGGCGGCGGCGGCTTGAGATTAGTACTTGTACTTGTTAAGGCTGTGATCATGCCTGATCCAGCAGGCCTCGAGGAGGTCATGGAGGCCACCACTCACCACGTAGCGATTTGTGGTAGCAGCAGATCTGGACAGTTCACCCCATTCGCTAACAAAACGGACAGAACACCGAAGGTTCAAGAATCATTTCCATTGCTTGACAGACCGTGTCGAGCCAGGTTATGAGTTGACCTCCTCTCCGACGTCTCCAAGTGAACTACAACGCTGGCTCAAGGGCATTATAGCTGAACACACGACGCAGATGATGGAGAACGTGCCCATACCGCCTTAGTCATTCTTCCTGGATAGTCTAAAATCTCCCGATATTGTTACAGCAAATGCTGACTGTTTTGTTTGAGACGAAGTCGCTGTGCTTCACTCGAGGGATGGTCCTCAGACGACGGTGGTCAAATACCTCCATTAAATACCCCCTGAGAGCGGCCCCTCCTGGCTTATGATTTATCAGGCTCTCTGAAAATTCATACACATATCCTCCTTGTCGGAAACTGCAGATCCTTTAAACACTTACTTGCCTCCTGTACTTTCATATCTTCGTCTCACCTTGCAGACACGCGAGACTGGACCATGTACGACTCCGTGGTGAATATGGCCGCGGTTCTCAATGATCCCCTGGACAGGCAGGTAATTTCCACGTTTCTAGTCCACGTTACTGACTAACCCGAAACCCACTGTTCTCTTCGCTGACACATCCCCTGGTCATTCGCCACCCGCCTTCTCCTTTTTAGTTCGACATCTTCTCCCGCGACTGGGGTGAGGCCTTTGAGCGCGCTGTGGTTCTGCCTCCGAACCAACCCGAAATTACCGAGCACCACTTCCGGACTTATCTCAGTCAGTTATCGCAACGACGGGTCCGTCTGGTGCCCCCTAGCGGTGAGGTCTCGGCACCTTTATCGCCTCCAGGTAAGGTATCTAGGATCACTTCCGTTCTTTGCATTGTCACCCCTGGCACTCCAAGACGGGCAACTTTTGGTTGTGAGATGACTTAGAACCCAAATTCAGTCTTTCGCTGCACATTTGCTGAGGTTATTGTTGTTAACGTAGCCAAAGCTGAAATGTCACTGCCTATTTACGCCTTGTGTGAGTCCCCAAGGAAGGACACGACAAGAAAAGCGCAAAATCGGAAGTCTTTGAGCATAATTGATACATCATATTTAGGGCAACAAACGCGTGTTAAGCTATGTCCATCATGCCAATCAGATACTATCTTGGCGTGAGTAGCGACAAGATTGGCTTGTGACTCAATGGCTGCAGCTTTAATTTAAAATTATTGATTGATTGACTGCCAGTCTGCGTTCGCCGCGTGTAGGCCGATCGATTGCCTGCCATGAGCGCGGCTCGCCGCTTGCATGCTGGCTGTCTACTTCTCTTAATACTTCCTTTCTTTGAGACAAATCGTAAGAGCTGCGGGTTCACTTGCAACGGAACCGTTTGCGTTCTTTTTCGGCTTGATCGTCTAGAAGCTTGGGGAGATCAGCTTGCTACTGGAACTGTGGTTTCTTGCCTTGGTTTTGGCCGATCGAATGTGTCCAGTAGTAGTTCAAGTGATAAAGTTGGGCTTTGATTTCGCACCTCAGTACATTCAGTGTGTTCAGTATCATTATCAGTTTATTGAAGGAAAAATAGGCGAACGCCTTTGAACTCCCTATTGGTAACAAGATGATAGGAAATATATGGATACAAAGTAAAAGGTAAAAGTACGCCATTTGCATGACATCATCTACCAAGTAGTCCAAATAGTAATTAAACATGACTACTCGTTAATCACGAGTAGTATAGTGTAATGTACTTCAATGTCCTTGCACATGTCCTTGTAATGTAATGCCATGTCCTTGTACACGGCTGAGTATGGGGAAAGACACAACATTTCTCCTGTGGTCCAAATAGTAATAAAACATAACTACTCCTTAATCACGAGTAGTATAGTGTAACGCTGTATATATTAACGTTGTTTTACGTGGCTGTTTGTCCGAATGGGATTTGATGCGTGTCCAGCCTGCTCTTAAATGTATTAACACTGGTGGAA